AGATCGCACTACTTCGATCAAGTAATGCTTTTCACGTCCATTCTACAAATCATTGTTCTTGAAAATGTTCGAGTAAAATATTTAAAAATATTAACATCAAGCACAAGAGATATAAAAAAATATTGACCATTGGGACTTTATAAAATGAAATAATTAAATAAGAAATAAACACTAATAATATATATAAATATCCAAGGGTTAAGAAATATTAAATAAATATATACACACATATAATATAAATAGATATACACACATATAAATATTAAATAATATGATATAATGTATACATTCATACAAATATAAATATACATTCATAGGAAAAATGAAAGAAACAGACATCAAATTCTGATGTAATCAAATTATTTAAAAACAAAATAGTAAGGATCACAATAAAACTAAATAAAACAATGACTAAGTCATAATTTCACTAGCATAAATGTAAATAAAGAAAGAATCATGATGCAAAAATGCGAATATTATACACTACAAGAATTAGGAACACAATAAACCCATAAAATATTATTCGGGACTAAAATATACCAGAAACATGGAGATAATTAATACTTTTACCTAAATATATCTATACAAAATAATGAACAAAATAAAAGGTTCTTAAACATCACAGCCATATTCGAACATCCACGAAAATGGTAAAATACAAAAAGTAAGGACTTAAATATAAACAGATAAGAGTATATGCCCAAAACAAGATTTCAAAAAGTTTCATTAATGATTAAACCATAGGCATTACAAATGAAGAGGACCTAAAGCACTAATATCCCATTTTCCTCAAAACAAGCAGTCTCTTTCCCTACTGAACGACGTCGTTTTGGGAATAGAATATAAGCCTCGTTTTAGGCTTTAGAAAACCATGGTATCATTTTTTTCTCTTCCTCTCTCTCAGCAGTAAACCACGAACCCTTGGGGAGAGTTATCCCCAGCCTCACCATCGAAAAATAACACCACAACCTCGACCACCGTATATCGGTGGCCACGGGGATTCAAACACAACGATAACCTCTCCCCTCTCTTTCTCCTCCGCCTCTCTCTAAAACAAACCTAAAAACCAAGCCCCCAAAACCAAACACTAAAAGGGAGGAGACCTTTACCTTTCTCAGGTGGGTTCGGTCCGATGAACGAAGGATGGCGAACAGGGTAAGGTTCTTTAGTCCATCTTTCCCTTTTTTTACTGCTTTTTGTTTTTGTTTTTTTCGATCTCATTCTCTCTCTTATAATTCGTTTCTGGGGTTTTATAACCCAATATATAACATAAAATTTCATTTTTTATTTTTTGTTTGGTGACCTGCTGAGAATGGGGAGGCATGGGCAGTAAAGAGGTGGCACCAACAACTGATGGCAGGGCATGGTGGGCGTGTTGGAGCAGGCGGTTGGTATGCAGGGCATAGTTGTTGCTGCAAGTATGGCTGTGATGATTTTAGGACAAAAACTGGTGATTACAAATCGATACGTTATTATCCTGGAGTAACAATCCGAGACTAAATTAAAACCTGAGAAAAGTAAAAGAAAAAAAATCTTTTAAAAAATAAAAGAGAATTACAGGAAATAAAATACTTTGTATTTTGATCCTGAGATCGGAATCAGTTGAGGCCTGTCACTAAACAGTTTCCTTAAGACAGATTTCCGGTTTCCGGTCACTCATTGGTGCTCTAGATTCTTTGGTCGTTTGTCTCCCAAGATACAATAACTAGATGATCAGCTACAGTAACACAACAATAGAGATCACAAACTTTCCTTGCCTTCGACTATCATCGAAAAACTAAGGAAAAATGGATATTTTATGAGAAAGAGAGAAAATATTTTCAAGAGAACAGAACTTTTTGAATTCTAAGTTGTGAAAAAGCTAAGAGATTTGCTCAGTATTTATACGAGAATTTTGAGAGAGTTTTTCTCCAACTAAATCTCTTTCAATATCTAAATTTAAACTGATAATGATATCTTTTAAGTTTAAAATATTAAACCTGAGAGGTTTACTCCAACCAAATCCAACCAGATATCTTTTAATAAATAAATTTAAATAAATAATAATATTTTTAAAATTTAAATTATTAAAATTCAAATTATAAAAACATTATTTTAATTTGAAATACACAAAAGTATAATTATCTTTTAATATTTAAAGTTAAAAAGGTAACACATACAATTTTAAATTGACATACTAAAAGAGTAATTATCCTACTGATATTCAAATTAAACCATATCTTTTAATTTGCAATGTCTAAAAGGACTCTGAATTTAATATAATTATTAAATCCATCAATGTAATTCATCTTTTTTTCCAACAATCCCCCACATAAATGAAATTGATGATTTAATCAAAAACATTTTGACACGGTGTGGTGATAGTCTCTATGTTGATAGTTACATATGATAGGTAGGTGTCATTCTTTGAACCTTCCCTTATGATAGTATATTTACTTTACTGGTTAAACAATAGACACGATGTCCTTGAATTGTTCTTCCGTTTGTGTAAACGATGACGTACTTCACACAACTACCCTCTAACAAGAATTTAGTTCTCATGGATATGTCCTTAAAGCCATGGACATCGTCTAGTTCTGCAAGAGTTTGAGAGAACTATACCCCAATAGTCTTCTTAAAGAGGCCCTATTTCACTCTCAGATAAGTGACTTATGTTGCTCGTCTCACCGCAACACTTAATGGTCATTAAAAGCCTAGCTTAGCCTATACCACTTTAATCACTATTTATATCATAGAAACGGACTAAGGATAAGAAATTCCCACAGTGATCGTACACAAGTTATGCAATTAAGTTGTCCCTTTGAACCTATATATTGGGATCTCTAGTCAACAAGATAGGATTTTCCTTCGCATAATACCTTTAAATTTCATGGGATTTAGTCTTATTCCTTTAGATGTCTTTTCAACTTGATCTTTATTTAACTCTTTGGTTAACGAATCCGCAATGTTATCTTTTGATTTTACAAAATCAATAAAGATAACTCAATTTAAGATCAGTTGTCTAATGATATTGTGTTGACTACACATATGTCTCAGTTTACCATTATACATGAAATTTTGTGCTTTAGTAATTGTAGCTTGGTTATCACAGCATATACATACTGTGGGCACATGTTTCGGCCATTCTGGAATATCCTCAAGAAAGTACTCATATTTCATTATGGATCTAGTTATTATCATTTGTCTTGAGGATTTCCAAGACACAACTCCTCCTCTTAAAGTGAATATGTATCCACTTGTACCTTTGATATCTTGAATATCAAATATCTAGCTGGCATCAGAGTATCTTTCTAAGACAACAAGATCTCTAGAATAATGCAAACCGTAATCACGAGTATATCTAAGGTATTTCAATATCCTTGTTATCACTTTCTAGTGATTTTCACTTGGATTGCTCGTGAATCTGCTTAAACTGCTCACAGTAAAAGTGACGTATAGTCTCGTACAACTCATAAGATATATTAGGTTGCCTATGGCCCTTGCATATTTCACCTGGTGAACACTTTCACTGGGTTTATAGACAAATGTGAACAATAGTCTAGTGAAGTTATAACTATACCATTATCACCCTTATTAAATTTTTCAAGGATCTTGTCCACATAGTGTGATTGTGTTAATATAAGGCCTTTAGATGACTTTTTAATTTGGATGCCAAGAATCATATCTGACAATCTCACATCTTTCATGTCAAATCTTGAATTTAACATGCCTTTGGTACGTTTTAACATCTCATTTTACTTCTAACAATGAGTATGTCATCAACATATAAGCATAGAATAACATATCATGTGCTTGTTGTTTTGACATATACACACTTGTCACACTCATTTATCTTGAATTCATTTGTCATCATGATACTATTGAACTTCTCATAACGTGCTTGTTTAAGTTCATACAAAGATTTCACCAACCTACATACTTTCATTTCTTGACCTATAACTACATGACCCTCAAGTTGTTCCATGTAAATTTCTTCGTCAAGATCACCATTCAGGATAACTGTTTTAACATCCATTTGATGTACTTCTAGATTTCGCAAAGTGTCAATCGCTAGTATCATTCTAATGGATGTTATTATTAATACATGAGAGTATGTATCAAAATAGTCTATGCCCTTCTTTTATCGGTATCCTTTTATTACCAATCTGGCCTTGTACTTATCAATTGTTCCATCTGCTTTCATTTTTCACTTGAAAATCCATTTAGAACTTAGTGTTTTAATCCCCAGAGAAAGATCCACTAATTCCCACATATGGTTCTGCATGATGGAATCTGTTTCACTCTTAATGGCTTCCTTCCAATAAGGTGTCTTCAGAGGATCGTATAGCTTTAATATATGTTTGAGATTTAGCCTCCAACATAAAGGTTAAGAAGTTTGGCACAAATGATTTTTCAACCCTTGCCCATTTTCTCTTTGGCTCTATCTCAATTTCAACATCTTGTTGATCATCTGGACTATTCTCATTATTAGTCTTTAAGGTTCATTTCATTTAACTTTGATCAACCTCATTAGATTTATAAGGGAAAATATTTTTAAAGAATAATGCATTCTTTAATTCCATTATTGTATTATTGTGAATATCAAGATTCTTAGATTCATACACAAGAAATCGATATGCATTGTTATGTTCTGCATAGCCCATGAAAATACAATCCACAATTTTAAGACTTATTTTCATTTGCTTTGGTAATAGGGTCATTACCTTGGCAAGGCACCCCCACATTTTCAAATGTTTGTAGGAAGGTTTCTGACCTTTCCATAATTCGTATGGTATCTTATCTTTTTGTCATAATTGCAATAAAAAAGTAATAGAATTGTGGATTTTAGAAATGAAGAAAGTTGAAGATGAAGAATTACATTGAAAAATATCAGCATAATTCTCAATTACAATTCTGTTATATATATTTAATAACAACAACTAATTATTTGTGTACAGCTGTCACTGCCTTTGTCTTGTAGTCTAACTGCTAGATTCATGTAACAGAATGCTTCTTGGACTTCACGATTGGGTTGTCATAATCTCCTGGTCTTCAATGGCTGTAATGACTTGGGTCTCTCTATCAGGCCAACCCGATTCCACATACCCATCAGATTGGTTATCTCTCTTGGTCTGCTCTAAAACCATAATTCCATCAGGTAAGTTTCTTGATTCCTCTTTCTCCCAAATCCCTAGCCTTCGAGTTCCTAATTCCCTGAACCCTAATTCTATCTCTTCCCCAAATCTCTTCTCTATTTCTCCTGCTACCATGACAATACCCCCCTCTTCAGTCGATCCTTGACCCCAAGGATCAAATCCTGGAAATTGTGCTCGCAAAACAGTGTAGTCATCCCATGTGGCATTTTCATTCCCAAAGTTCGTCTATTGAATCAGGAATTGGGCAACATCCTAATTATTGCGTTTCACAATTCTTTTGGCCAAAACAGCAGCCGGATAGACCTTTATCTGGCCTTCAACATCAATCTTCGGAGGATCGAACGAGGTAATCTTCTATTCACCAACCTTCTTCTTTAAGAGACTAACATGGAAAACTGGATGAATTTTCGAATGATCGGGTAATTTTAATTTATATGCTACTGACCCTATTCGTTTAATCACTGTATAGGGTCTAAAAAATTGAGCAGCTAATATAAGGTTCTTACGAAGTGCTAATGACGTTTGGTGATATGGCTAGAGTTTGAGGTAAACACTATCCCCAACCTGAAATTCCTTATATGTACGCTTCTTGTATGCATATGCTTTCATTCTTGTTTGTGCCCTCTGTAACTGTTCATGTAAAATCTTGTTCATAATATCTCTCTGTTCAAATAACTCATGTACTGTCTGCACCATTGATTGACCACCCCAAGATAAAACTTGAGGTTTATAACCATACATAGCTTCGAATGGAGTTATACATAAGGCAGTGTGATAGTTGGTGTTATACCACTATTCTGCCTGTTATAACCAATCAACCCATATAGTGGATTTAAGAAAACATATACTCCTCAAGTACTGCTCAACACACTGATTTACTCTTTCAGTTTGGCCATCCGTTTCAGGATGATAGGCAGTGCAGAAGTGAGTTTCTGTGCCAACCTGTTTCATAAATTCCTTCCAAAAAAAACTTGTAAATAACTTGTCTTTATCTGACACAATGGACTTAGGATGCCCATGTAGTTTATAAATCTGAGCTAAATAGAGCTTTTCCAATTCAGCTGCTGTGTAGGGATGTTTTAAAGGAATGAAATGACCATATTTAGTAAAACTGTCAACAATTACCCAAATGCAAGTAAATTTCTTTGAAGATGGAAAACCTTCAATGAAATCTATAGAATCATATCCCAAGCCTGGTGTGGAATTGGTAGTGGTTGTAAGAGACCATCCTTGTGAGAATGATCAACTTTAGTCATCTGGCAGACCTCACACTGAGCAATAAAATCCTTGATCTGTTTCTTTAACTTTGGCCAATAAAAATAAATTTGAACTCTATAGAAAGTAGCCTGAATTCCTGAATGTCCTCCCAAAGGAGATACATGTAAAAGGGTCAAGATTTATTGCCTCAATCCTCCATTTTCTCTCATATAAACCTTCATGTTAAATCTCAAAACTCCTTGAGTAAAAGTCTATTGACTGTTATCATCTGTTCAGATACTTAATTCTGTAATTTTAGTCTTAGCAAAGTCATCTTCTGTATAGCTTTTTTCAAGATCTTGAAACCACTGTGGAATAATAGCTGTCACAATCAGCTGTTGTAATTCAGCTTCATTTTTTCTAAATAAAGCATCAGCAGCCAAATTGCTTCTTCCCTTTTTGTACAGAATTGTATAATTCAGCCCCAAAAGTTTTGTAAGTCCTTTCTTTTGGATAGATGTAGTGAGTCTTTGTTCCAAAAGATGTTTAAGTGCTTCATGGTCTGTTTTGATAACAAATGAAACTCTTTCAAAGTAATGTCTCCATTTAGTGACTGCCATAAGAATGGCTAAATATTCCCTTTCATATACAGACAAATCAGAATGTTTAGGACTTAAAGCTTTACTTAAATAGGCTATAGGACGTCCATCCTAAGATAAAACAGCTCCAATACTAGTAGAACTTGCATCGGTTTCCAAACAGAATGGTTTAGTGAAATCAGGCAAAGCAAGAATAGGGGCCTGAGACATGGCTACTTTAAGTGTCTCAAAAGCTGCTCTAGATTCAGGTGTCCATGTGAAATTATTCTTTTTGAGCATATCAGTCAATGGTCTACTAATCATTCCATAATTGCATATAAACTTCCTGTAAGACCCAAAAATCCTCTAAGAGACTTCAAATTTGTAGGCATCTTCCAAGTCCTCATAGCCTCTATCTTGGAAAAATCAGTAGCCACACCTTGAGCTGAAATTACATAACCCAAATATTCCACCTGAGTTTGTCCAAAAAAACACTTACTTTTCTTAGCAAATAACTGGTGCCTCCTCAAAGTCTCCAAAATAATTTTTAAATGTGTCTATTGTTCTGCCATAGACTTACTTTATATAAGAATGTCATCAAAAAATACTAGGACAAATTTCCTCAAATATGGTCCAAACACTTCATTCATAAGTGTTTGAAAGGTTACTGGTGCATTTGTTAAACCAAATGGCATGACTTTAAACTCAAAGTGGTCATGATGAGTTCTGAAAACAGTCTTCTCAATATCATCAGGTCTTATTCTAATCTGCCAATACCCTGATCTAAGATCAATTTTAGAAAAAAACTGAGATCCAACCAATTCATCCAGAAGATCTTCTACCATTGGTATAGGAAATTTATTTTTAACAGTCATAGAATTCAACTGTCTATAATCAACACAAAGTCTCCATGATCCATCTTTCTTTTTAACTAACAAACAAGGAGAGGCAAAAGGACTCTTACTTGTTTGTATAATGGAAGAGGCTAACATCTCCTTAATATATCTCTCAACTTCTGCCTTTTGATGGTGAGGAAATCTGTATGGATGTATATTGGCAGGTTGAACTCCCTCTTTAAGTATAATGGCATGGTCTTGACCTATTTCATATGGCATACCATCAGGTTCAACAAATATATCTGCATACTGTTGTATTGCCAATGTCAATTAAAATATTTAAGGGTCTTCCTTTTACAGTCCCCTGAATGCTTAAAGTTAAAAAACTAGCTTGCCCATTTAAAGCATTCATTGAAATTTCAAAATCTTTGGCTCCTGCACTTTGAGTCACAGAATCTGGCAATTCAGTCTCTTGAATATTCTCCTCGTCAATATCTTCAAAAAATTCACCCTCATTCATACAATTCAACTGCTTCTGTTTACATTGATGTCCCAGAGTAAACTTGTCTCCACACTTAAAACAGAGATTATTAGCTCTGTGATAATCTAAAAGACTCTGCATAGTGTTGTTACTTGGAGGACTAGGCTTAGAAAGAATTGTATTAGAGAAATTCTTCACTATAGAAGTTTGATTTGAATTGTAGAAACTCCGAACAAGAAATCAAAATTTTTTACTTTCAATTTCACCATCAAGTTCATGAAGTTTAGCTTGTTTAAATGTAGCAGCCAAAGATTTTGGTTCATGTGCTCTAACCCTATGCTTCAATTCATCCTTTAAGCCACTAATAAAACTAGAAATAAAATATTCTTCCCCAAGATGCGAATTCTGTTGTATGATAAGAGGCATTAATTCATCAAAACGTTCCTGACACTCTTCCATAATACCTCTCTGAGTTAATTTGTTGAACTCATCCACCACATCAATATATGTACTGTTGCTAAATCTGTGACACAAATCAGCTGCAAACTCATGCCAAGTAACCTTATGTTTGTGCATAAGATACCCATCAAACCACGTTCCAGCCTTTCTAGTCAAATATATAGAGGCTATTTCAATATGTTGAAATTCAGGAATAACAAATATTCTGAAATATTTTTGACATTTCTGCAACCAACTCCTAGGATTAAAACCATCAAAGAATTGAAGTTTAATTCGAGGTCAAGAAAATGAAACAAAAACACCAACAGTAGTAGGAATAGCACTAGAATTCTCTCCTAAGTCATCTCCATTACTAACCAGTCTCAAAGATGGAACAATTGGCAAAATAGGATCATATTGTTTATCACCAGGTTTAGATTGTAAAATACCTGGTTCTCCAGGTTTAAAAGAGTATCTTTCATGCTCATTAATTACAGTAACCTCAAAAGGTATCTTACCTTCTATTTTTGGTGTAGGAATTTCAGCTCTTTTCTTACTGGTTGCTGGAGTTAGGTGATCACCTTCCTCTGCACTTTTTGAAATCATCTGAATAATCTTCTGAAGATGCCCAATATTTTCTGTAGACTAAGCTTCCAAGGTAGCTAAACGGTCCTCCCATTTCTCGCGTTGAACAACCCATCATTTCGGCACTTCCTCTGGCTGCTCGACAGGTAAAGTATCAGTTGCTTCAATCGGATTCATTTCAGTCATTTTAGTATTTTTCTTAGGCATCCTAATTTTTTTTCGAATTTTGGATCAATTAACGTGGCTCTGATTACCAAATTGTCACAATTGTAATGAAGAAAGTAATAGAATTGGGGATTTTAGAAATGAAGAAAGTTGAAGATGAAGAATTGCATTGAAAAATCTCAGCATAATTCTCAATTACAATTCTGTTACATATATTTAATAACAACAACCGATTATTTGTGTACAGTTGTCACTGCCTTTGTCTTGTAGTCTAACTGCTAGATTCCTGTAACAGATTGCTTCTTGGGCTTCACGATTGGGCTATCATCATCTCCTGGTCTTCAATGGCTGTAATGACTTGGGTCTCTCTATCAGGCCGGCCTGATTCCATATACCCATCAGATTGGTTATCTCCCTTGGTCTGCCCAAAACCACAATTCCATCAGGTAAGTTTCTCGATTCCTCTTTGTCCCAAATCCTTAGCCTTCGAGTTCCCAATTCCCTGAACCTTAATTCCATCTCTTCCCCAAATCACTTCTCTATTTCTCCTGCTACCATGACACTTTTTTTCGGGGTACCTTATTTAAAAGGTAATTAACTTAAAGGACAGTTTCCCCTTCACATTTTCTGTGGTAACCCTGAACTATTTAACAATGCATTCATTATTTCTTTTAGATTCCAATTTTTCTACTCGGTAACTCTATTTGATTGAGGATAATAAGGTGTGCTACTTTGTGAATAATACCATGTTGTGAATAAAATTCAGCGAATGGTTCAACATATTCACCACCATGATCACTTCTTACCATCTTAATCTTTTTATTAAGTTGGTTTTCGACTTCATGCTTATAGAGTAAATTTTTCTATAGCTTCATCTTTGCTCATAAGAAAATATACATAGCAATACTTTGTGCTATCGTCAATGAATGTAATAAAGTATTTATTATCTCCTTTCATTTGGAAAAAATTTAAGTCACAAATGTCACTGTGAATTAAATCAAGTGGTTCGGTATTTCTTTCAACAGTTTGAAAAGATGACCTTGTTAATTTTGCCTTAATACATGTTTCACATTTATGATTATAATTTATATGAAACGATGGAATGTGTTCCAAGTTAATTAATCTCTGGAGAGCATCATATTTAACATGTCCAAGCCTACCATACCATAAATTAAATAACTCAATCATATAAATGAAAGAAGAAACTTTATTCTTATTCTTGCTTTTGGCTTTTACAGAGATAGCCGTGAGTTTCCACATGTCATTCAGTATATGTCCTCTATGCACAAATATTCCTCCTTTGGACAAAATCAATTTTTGGGATTCAAACATCATTCTAAAGTCATGAACACTTAGGAGTGTTCTAGAAACAAGGTTTTTTCGTATGTTGGATACATACAACACATTCTACAGCTTGAGTTCTTTGCCAAAAGTCATGTTCAAGACTACAATACCCTTACCCTTGATTTTGAAAATCACAACATTGGCCATGTAGAGCTTCTCCTCATTGTTGTAAAGTGTCAGTTCAGAGAAAGATTCCTTGTCGTAATAAGTATGGTGTATGGCACATTATCGAGTCATCATTCTCTTGGATTAGAGTCAACCAGGTTGACTTTAGAGATAACGGCACATAGATCTATATACTCCACATCCTTAGTCATTCTTTCCACATCATTAGCCTCGCGAGCTTTGACTTTCTTTGGATTTTTGCACTTAGAGGATTTGTGTCCCATCTTTCAATTGTTAAATCACTTCCCTTGGAATTTCTCCTTTTTGGAAATTCCACTCTTGGGTTGTCTTTCTTTCTTGGAGTCCTTAACTTCCATCACGTTTGCCTTAGCCTCTTGGCAATAATTATGTTATCTTCTTCTATTTGAAGTTTGACAACCAATTCTTCCATGGTCATTTCCTTCCTCCTGTACTTCAAATAATTCTTGAAGCCACTCCATCCATGAGGTAATTTCTCAATTGTGGCAGCTATCTGAAAGGATTCGCCTATGCCCATTCTCTCGACAAGGATTTCATTGACCAATAATTAGAATTCCTCCACTTGTTTTACTACTAGTTTAGAGTCAACCATAGTAAAATTCAAGAACTTGGCAACTAAAAACATTTTAATTCCATCATCTTCAGCTTTGTACTTGTGGTCCAATGCTTCCCACAATTTCTTTGATGTTTCATAATCAACATATACCAGATATAATGAATCTTGAATACAATTAAGTATTATATTCTGATATATATAATCTGAATTCTTCCAAGCTTTAACAATGTTAAAGCAATAACATTGTCTTCTCCATCTTTAAGAACACGAGGATCTTCCTTCAAGAACCTTGAAAAGTTCCATGTGGTCAAATATAATGCCATCTTCTGTTAACACGTCTTGAAATTCTCTCTGCAGAATTTTGTCAGCTTTTCGTTGTGGTTAATTACCACTGTCGATTGACTCACATTCATATTTGGATTTTGAACCGATACCACTGTAACACCCCGAACCCATACTCGACCCGAATACAAATCTGAGGTGTCACATTGACATTTCAAAACATTCACTTGTACAAAATAGTGAATAATTTTAAAACTTTTATTAACACACAACTATATTTACATTAATTACAATCATATGATTTTACAAAATCGATTAGAGCATATCAGATTCAAACCTTTATTTACATGCCAACTACAATCGATATTATAAAATATATATACTATTCCTTTCTCTTCTGATCTGACCTTTAGTAAGAAGAAACTGACATGTTTTGCTTTTCATCGTTCCATAAGCTCGTCAAAACCTACGTGTGAAACACTCACACGCTAAG